AGGCCTCTCATCCTGTCTGGTCATCCTATCAAATTTCAAATTTGAGGTTCTGTACAGAATCAGGACCTTACAGCAACATATTCTTAAAGCGCGTACGGCACGGCTTTCTGGTTTTGAAAGCGTGCTGGGATGAAACTGACGTACCTGCCTGACTTGTTTGCTGCACAAGCGAGCTTTTGTCTCATCTTTGTGCATCTCTTGTTTCCATCACGGTTTCTTCAGTTTACGCCGTAGTGTTACCGTTCGGCTAGTAGAATTGCATCGATGTTTCATCCATCTAGAGGCGGCGTTCGGGGAGGGAAAGATCGTAAGTTTGTTTCCTAGTTGCTAGGTTAAGCGTTTGCCTTGTGAAGACTCGAATGAGTTTAGATTGCTGGGGCCTTCTTTCTTGGATCATTGTTCTTGTTGCCTCTTTCCCTCTTTATGCCTTTTCCGTTCGGGAGCGTTAGTCGCTTCCGATCGCAACCCTACATCGCGCAAGGTTGTAATTGTAGTATTGTCGACGTCCGACGCGCCTCGGAATAGATCGTTTATGTACCCTTCTCGACCGTCCCATTTACCAAACCCTGATTGCTGATGCCTAAATATTTTTATTGCCACCTTTCTTCTCGACCAGAATTCAAATGGGACGACGTGAAGAGTGACAAGTTCCGAGAGAATTTTCTCGGCCACAGTGTGATGGCACCTGTCGGCCGCTGGCAAAAAGGTACGTATTTTCTCTTTGGATGCAGGAACTTATTTCACTGGGGTGCGAATACTTAGTTCATTAGGCTGCAAAAGGTTATACAAGTGCGGCTAAGGCTTTGTGCTCAGTTCATGCGTTCAGTAATCCGAAGCATCCGTGCTTGTCAATGCACGCCATAGTGTCTTGCGCCTACAGGTTTCAGAAGGTGCGTTGGTAGACACTAAATGCTAACCCCTCAACCCGTAAGGGCCTTGTGAGGGAAGAAACGACCTTGGGGATGCTGCATCCCTCTGCTTCTCATTTGTTTCTCAACCCCCCTCCGCTACTCCCCTGCCACCCCTTCTCGCTAACTCGCAACAGCCGCAACAAGTATGTACAGTAACATCTCTCATCTGCTCCCCACCACCACTAGGCCAGGATCTACAGAGGGGGACGCCTTTTCAATAACTTCTCTCTCTGCCCCTTGCCACCACACCAGGCAAGGACCTGCAGTGGTACATGCGGACAAAGCCCGGGGACCAGGCAGCCGTGAAAGACTTTCGAGTCGACTTAATAGCCCCCCTCCCCCCCCCCTCTCCCCCCGCCACCATACCAGGCAAGGACCTGCAGTGGTACGCGCGGACAAAGCCCGGGGACAAGGCCGCCGTGAAAGACTTTTGAGCCGACTTAAAAGTCCCCCCCCCCGCCTCCCCCCACCACCTTACCAGGCAAGGATCTGCAGTGGTACGCGCGGACAAAGCCCGGGGATCAGGCAGCCGCGAAAGCAGCCGCGGAAGAGCAACTGAAGGTGGAGAGGCAGCGCATGAAGGAGGAGGAGGAGGCAGCAATGAACGAGATGTTGGGGATAGCGCCCGTCAAGCGGAGAGGGCCGAAGCTGGGGGAGGCGCGAGGCATGGAGAAGGGCGAGATGGATGAGCTGTTCAGGAGGGGGCAGAGTGGCGAGGTGCTGACGCAGGAGTATGCGTCAGGGGAGAGGATCGAGGGGCTTGGGTTCGCACCGTAAGTGATGTGTGCTGATGGTCCCTGTTGAGCTTGTGTTGCTCGCTAACACTTCCTGTAACCCTCCCTTGCCGTTGGCGATTTTCCTTTCTTTCTTCTTTTTTAATCGTTACGACCATGTTTTCGTATGAGGTGATTGAAATTCTTTTGTCTGCTGCACCCTGCAGGGCCGCGGGGCATGAGGAGCGTGTGGCACGCATGAAGAAGCAGCTGGAGGAGAAGATTGCTGCACAGGGTGCTGCTGGGGCTGTCAATAGCGAGGATAAGGCAGCAGGCAGCAGTGCCAGGGCTAGAGAGGCTGGAGGAGGTGGGAACAGCGAGGAAGAAGACTTGGAGGAGCAAAAGATGCAAGGTAAAGGGCGAGAGGAACCAGGGCTTGGGAGGGGAGATGGTGGGGAAGGAGGTGAAAGACGGAAGAGCAAGAAGAAGGGGGATAAGGAGGGCACCAAGAAGAGGAGGAAAGGTCGGCATGCTTCGTCTAGTTCCTCCTCTCCTTCGGAATCAGAATTAGATTCAGAATCAGAATCGGTGTCCGAGTCAAGTGAGGGTGGATCAGATGAGGAAGGGGGTAAAGGAGGGGAAGGAAAGAGGAAGCACGGGGTGGGCGAGGATGGAGCAGCAGTGGAGGGGGAACGGAAGAAGGGTAAGCGTGCAAAGCAGAGGGAGGAGAGGAGGCGTGTGCGGGAGGCAGAACGTGAGGGCAAGGTTCGGGTGAGCAAGAAACGGCAGAGGCGGTACGCTCGGGAGGAGAAGCTGGCTCGGAAAAAGGCTCGGAGAGAGGAACGGCGGCGTGCGGAGAAAGAGCTTGCTGCGACTGCTGCCACACGGGATGGGTATGGAGATGAAAAACAGAGTGAGGGGGGTGGAGACATTAGGAAGGGGGAACGGACAAGGGAGGGCGACAGAGACACGGGAGTGCAAGGGAGGAGTGTGAAGGGTGGTGCGGGGAGGAGTTTTGAGGCGATGTTTTCAATGGGGGTTCTGGAGGCTGATGCGGGCAAGCTGAGGAAGATACGGGAGCAGGCACAGGACAAGGAAGCTAGGTTGTATGAGAGGAGGGAGTACAAGCGGTTAGCCAAGGATGAGAAGAGGAAGTTTCAGGGAAGGGACTGATCCAGGGCGGTGGTGGAAGAGTTGTTGTGGCATAGAAAGAAGTTAATTGCAATATAAGTGGGGATTTTTACGTGATTTTGCTTCTGTTTTGTTTTGATGTTGCTATACTCCCGTCCAAGCCGCAGATTATGTAAACGTATCAACAAGCTAATGCTGTCAAGAGCATGGTGCTCTCATTGACTTTTGTTGTTGTGTGATATTAGTATTACTTCATTCAGTTGAATCAGTCAAAGTGTACCGCACGATATCGTCCCTTTGCTCATGAAATTGACGCGCCGCGAGTGCGCGAGCGACAATCCCAAGAAACGTGTAGAAGCCAGTCTGACAGGCCCAGGAGGGAACTGAACTGACAGAAGTAGAAAGATGGTGGTCGGTCAGTCACTGCAAAAGCACGAACCACCTGATTCAGTGAACTTCGTGCAAGCAGGTGCTTGCTGGTCAGCATGCCTGAGATGGTCGCTCGGAAGGAGAAAAGCACATGAGTCATGACAGTCTCAAGGTGAAGCTGCGGACTCAGAAGCGGGCTAGAGGACACTGGGAAGTCGGTGGATTGGAAGAACCTACTGTATGTTTCTCGCGAGGTCATGAGTTAATGGGTGCTACGGGATGAACGTTAAGACAAGGCGGATAAGAGGCCGAGTCCTGGGACCATCGTGCGCGACGGTGAATTTAGATTTGAACGATCCAAGGCTTCAGTTGCGTTTCCAGCACAGGACAAGCACGCAGACGGTACCGTCTTCCGGCCAGTGACACACGCTGCTGCTTCGGAAATTTACGATAATGTCCTCCTCGCTTCCCTATAGGCAGTTCACCAGAGCATTCCGACAACCTAAGCAAGTTAAGCGGCTCTCTAGTCACCAATTCCAGTGCCATGACTGTTCGCTCCTCTCATCGCGAACCGTTCGGTTGCATAAAAGGATTGGAATTCACCCGCCTATCTCAATACAACGCAACGACATTAGAGCTTCAGATCATTTTCTTCGCCGCACCGGCACGAGCAGCGAGACTTCTGTTACCGGACGTACCGAAACTACCCGCTGCCACGTCAGCGAGAGAAGCTCGATACCAGAAAGCGAAGCAATCTTATCAGATGGAAATCCGGAAAAACGGGAGGACGGTGCTTCTCAGTCCCTCGCGGCCTTGGTGCCTCTTGTGATGGAGAAGGGCGCTGAAACCGTCACCAAGGTGGTTGCGTCTCGCACTGGCGGCCTCATCGTTCTGAACGCGCTCACCATGCTCTATGGTATGCACTCATCATGCTCTATGGTATGCACTCATCATGCTCTATGGTATGCACTCATCATGCTCTATGGTATGCACTCATCATGCTCTATGGTATGCACTCATCATGCTCTATGGTATGCACTCATCATGCTCTATGGTATGGATTCGTCATGTTCTATGGTATGGATTCATCGCGCTCCATAATAATCACTCACCATGCTCTATGGTATCCGCTCATCACGCTCCATAATACTCACTCACCATGCTCTTCAATTTCCCTTCTTGACATCTTCTATCCTCCAGGATTAAGCGCTCCCACCATGCCTTCCCTCCCATGCCTGCATCACACCCGAACTTCCTGCAGCCAGCAACGGCACGGTGATCAAGGGCGCAGAGGAAGCCGCAGGAGGGCCCCTGCAATTCTGCCTGGGTCGATTCGCCATCGCGGCAATTGCACTCTCTCCGCTGCTCCCCGCCGCCCTCTCCAACCCCGCTGTCCGCCGCTGCGGCATCGAAATGGGCCTCTGGGCGGCCCTAGCGTATATCTCGCAGGCCTTCGCGCTCATCACCACTGGCGCTGGCCGCGTGGCCTTTATCGGCACTTTCACTGTAAGCAGGAATTAGCGTTCGTGGACTCGCCTTCACGTTTGGCTGTGTCCGGATGTCATGGCATTGTCGTTCGCAGTGGATGTGCGAGTGAATTAATCTTAAGGACGGTTCTGCATGCTGCATTGCCAGCTTGGCAATCAATCATCAATACTTCTGCGTGATTGATGTGTTGCTGCGTCCGTTCATTAAATGATGTACTTGCCGCTGGAGGTAGTTCGTCAGAGACATTTCAATGATATCAATCTTCTTGTACTCTGTTGCCTGACCTGCGGGGCAGATGATAGAGGTTCCACTCTCAGCATCTTGTGTCTGTTGCATGTTATTTGTTGTTTGTTTTCCGGTTTGTTGCCTTGCCTGGCAGATGATAGAGGTGCCGCTGGTGGCGGGTCTGCTGGGGGCGCGCATCCCTCCCCTCGTGTGGGCTGCCACTGCCTCCGCCGTTGCTGGCGTTCTCCTCCTCGAAGCCAACTCAGAAGCCTCCACGCTGGTGTGTTCCCTGATCGAAATCAATTCAAGTCAGAGATACGCATCGATTTGCTACACTCATGTGCCATCCACTATGATGTCGGCGACCAACTCTCTTCAATATGTTCGTCCAGCTTCATTGTATCATGCCCACTACTCACATCACTTGCCCCTGCTAGTTATGCTGTCTGAGTCTTGGAACAGCATAACTAGTCTCAGGCCCCTCAAACATCGTCCTGTGCCCGTGTCCCATGCCCTCCGCACACGCCGCTGGCTCAGGCGGTGACGATGGCCTGGTGCTGGTGATGGCGTTGAAGGCTCTTCGAACATCGTCCTGTGTCACAGTCTCATGCCCCCTCCGCACGCATCACTGGCTCAGATGGGGGACAGTCTGGCGCTGGTGAGCGCCATGGCGTTCAGGCTGCTGATGGTGCGATCAGAGCACTTCGCCAAGAATGTTTATGAGGCGCCGCAAATATAAACCCCTCCCCACCCACTGCTTGCTCAGGTGGGGGATGGCCTGGCGCTGGTGAGCGCCGTGGCATTCGGGCTGCTCATGGTGCGCTCGGAACACTTTGCCAAGACTGTGCCCGCCACAGCAAGTCTTGACCTCATCGCCCTGCAGGTGAAGTGAGCTGTGCTGTGCGATTCGTGTGTGAAAAATGTGGGAATCATATGTGCTTCTGTTCACTCTCAGGCTGCACACCACTGAGTTGTATCTCTGTTGCTGTGTGTGTGCGGAATTGCTGCTTCAATTAGCTGATATCCGCAGTGGCATGCTGTGCTTTCATGAATTCTCAAAACACCCGACTGCTCTCTGTGCTGAAATGTTGCTCACACTTGCAGATATCCACGGTGGCGTGCTGTGCTGCCATCGGCACAGCAATCACCAGCCTCATAGACCTTCTATCTTCCACCACCGCCCTTGCAGCCGACATAGAGGCTCAGACGTCCCTGCCTGGTTTTGCCGCCCAGGCCAAGGAGCTAATCAGTGCCACGTCACCCACTGATGCTGTGGAGAGATTAGCCTCGATGATGAGCTCGTGGCCGTGGCTTCAGATGGGGTATACAGGGGTGGTTTCCACCGCTCTCTGCCTCTGGCTTGAGGTTTGTTGCTGCTCTCCCTCCACAGGTTTGACCCCACCCCACCACCACCACCCCCACCACCACCACCTTTGAGTCCCTGCTTCTCATTCTGCCTGCTTTCGGCATTACCATGTATGTTATTTCCATGTATCAACCGAGCTTACATGGTGTTTGGTCCTTGTTTGGTGCAGATCGTGGCACTCCGGCATGTTGCGGCATCTGAAGTGGCCATGGTCTACACTCTTGAGCCACTGTATTCGGCGCTCTTAGCCTCCTTGGTCCTACAGGAGGAGTGGACGACTGTAGGGTATATGGGAGCAGCACTGATATTTGGTAAGTAATCATCCAGGGTGACTCATTTTCTCATGTGTTGAGCTATTCACCATTGCTCCGCTGCCGCTGATTACCGTACTAGGTAACTAACTAACTGTGCCTGCCCTTTTTTTGCAGGGGGAAGTGCTGCTGTTCAGCTTGGGAATGCCAGTTATGAGAAGACTGAGAGTGACACGGTATTAGAAAAACCAGCAGCGAAGTAACATTTCCATTCCACCATTATAATAAAGCCATAGGTATCTGTCTGTACCACGTAGGCATGTTCATGCCCTCCTCTCCACATGCGCTCCCGAATGCAGTCGTTACCACAAATCCTACGCAAGGTGACACACACGACACTCTTGGAGTGATCTGAAACGCTATGCCATGCTCCGAAACTCTTAGAGCACCTCAGCCCCTCCTACGGTATTCTCAGAGCTCCTAAACCCTCTGGTAGTGCCATAACACGGAAGAGCTGAACTTCACACCCCCTGCCAATCCCCTCAGCCAGGTACCAGTGGGTTGAACTCCACCGAGTGTAGAAACTGCAGGAAAGTGCGCCCCTTGCAGCACCTAAGCCCTGTCATAGTGCCTCAATCGGAACAGCAGCACCTTCCCCCGCCGGTTCCCAACAGCCAGGTACCCGCTGTGAGGGCTGAACTCCACCGCGTGCACGAACTGCAGAGCCGTGCGCTCGGTGGGCCAGTTGAAGAACACGGAGCGCGACGGCACGTGCACCAGTCGCAGCGAGTCGCGCTGCTCGCGGGAGGAAAGGGCGAGAATGCGGCCGTCGTGGTTGAAGGAGAGCGCGTCAATCTCCGTCGTCAGGTTCATGAATGCCCGCTGCAGCGGTTTCTCGCTGTAGCGGCTCAAACCTCCCGTTCCCAGTGCTGCTTCTGCTGATGATATGCTTCCAAAGGGTCCTGAGCGGAGGAAGGCCGGGCGGTCATAGAGGTTCACCACTCCGGAGTCAGATCCAGCCGCGAAATGCCGCCCGTCTGGGGACGCTGCAATGGCAGTGCCCTTCACACAGCCGTCGTCTGCACGCCTGTGAATGCAGCGCATCATGCGCAGATCAAAGTGATACACCTCCCCGTCGCTGCCTGTCGCCAGCATCTGATGCTCCCCTGTCAGGGCCTGCCCGCTCGGACTATCAGACCCGCCAGCGCCGGCAGCAGCATCGGAGGGAACAGGGGGGGCGAAGCAGACGGAGGAGACGGAGCCGTTGAGTTTGAGGTTGCCCATCCACTGCCGGGACTTGAGTGACACAAGAACGATGAACCCGTCGCGACACAGGAACGCCGCCTTGCCTCCGTCCGGGGACAGGGCGAAGCGGGTCAGCGGCGGGTCGCGCTTCGGCCGCCCGATTATCCCATCCACGCGGGCGACTCGCCCCGCACCGATATCGTACACGTGGTAACCGTTGAACGCCTCGCCCGTCGCGTAACCGCGACTGGCGTTACGGCCGTTGCGCCCCGCCACAACCACCTGGGTGCCGTCAGCAGTGAAAGCAGCGGTGCGCACGAGCACGTTTTCAAAGTAGATGGACTGCAGCTCAGGGTTCTCCTCACCGTCCACGTGGACGAATCTCACCCGTCCATCTATGCTCCCGCACAGCAGCAGCTGCCCGTTCGGGTGCCAGCTCAGCGACTGGATCGCGCGGGACGGCGCGACGGGAGTGATGGCGCTGGCGCCAGTGGGGGCCTGCCAGTTGGCGTCGCGCACGCGGGAGATTCGGATCCGCCCGGGCGGCAGGCGGTGGGTGGTGCGCTGGCTGGCTCGGTCCTTGCTCTGGCCGGCAAGCATTGGCATGTTGCGGAGAATCTCATCCGCATCAAATCCGTCCTGATCCTCGTCTCCCTCACTCTCTCCATCCTCATCCTCGTCCTCTCCCACCCCCATAGCAGCTCTCTCCTGCTCCAGATCGCTGAATACCCCCCCCGTTCCCCATCTGATAACTCCCCTGCATCCGCCTCATCTTCCTCCTCCTCCTCGCTCTCGCCATCCTCGTTAAAGCGCTTCTCTTTAAGAGCATCGTCCCGCTTCTCCTTCCTCGTAACCGGTTTTTCCTTCTTCTCTTTCTTCTCCTTCTGCTGCTTCCCTAGCCCTACCTTGGCCCACCTCGTTCCCGGGTTCAACCTAGCGTGTTGCGCACGCAACCGCTGCTGATACTCCACCCCCGATACAGCCACCTCGTCCTCCTCCTTCCGCAGCTTCCTCAGCCGATTCTGCCCCGCTATAGTCACAACCAGCGTCTCGTCCTCCTCGTCCACCCACGCGGGTTTCTCCGCCTCCGCCTCTAAACCCTTCACCTTGCGCTTCTTCCCCTTCGAACCCTTCCGCCCATCCTCCTCCTCCACTCGCTGCTTCTTGCGGTCGATAAACCCCAGCAGAACCTCGCCCCCTGCCAAACCCTCCGCATCCCCGCCTTCTTCGCCGGGTTCTCCGCCGAAATGCGCGGTGATCAAATCCTCGCTGCTCGGCGGAAGGTCCGCGGAAGGTTCCCTGTCTACATCTCCCGCTGCTAGCTCATTTCCAAGGTCTGCCACGTAATCGCTTGATTTGCCGAACAGAATGCTCTCTAGCTCCTTCGCCTTCTCCGCATCGTCCGCCGCCCTTGCCGCTCGCTCCTGCTTCTGCCGCTTGCCAGCGACGCGCGGAGCCATTGCGATTTGCGTGAACTGAATAAGGGAGCAGCGATTATGGAAACGAAAGCTCACGACAACTGTTGGTGGGGAGGCTTCCTTCCACGCCACAAACAACTCGCGGCAGACCTCCCCTCGAATGCAAACCGCGCGAAACCGAGCTGAAGCCGCTGTTGGACAGGATGTGTAGCTTTGTTACGGACAGAAAGCACAGACCAGGAAAGCGGGCATAAACTAGCATTGTTTAGCTATAATAATGCATCAAATTCGCTTTAAAGTGTTACAGTGTGGCTTGGGAGACTTCTGAAACGTGCGGTCAGACCAAGGCAGCTTTGTTCAATGGTTAAAACAAAATGGTTGAATTGGAGTATGAATTAACATGCATGACAGCGTACAGTGTGAGTATGTATGGTAGTGTGGAGGCACATACAGTAGTTTTATAGGGTGTGGCTATATGGCAACTTCATATGAGTGTGCCTGTCTTGATTGACTGTGCAGGTACCATATGTTGTAACCAGCTGGTTGGGCTTTTTAAGCTGCTTTGTTGGGCGAAACTGCCTTACGGTATTGGTTACTACGATACGAAAGCATGTTGTTTTGGCTGGTTCTGGTTGCTGCTTTGGTTGAATCTGCCCCCCGTCCGTGACCCCATCACCCTGCATACGTGAATCTATGTTTTGTGAGGCGTATCTGTACCCTTGCTATGGCGTACCGTATGTCTTTCTGCTCCTGCCTGGTGTGGTGGGTTGTGATGGGTCTACCTTACCATACCTCATCATACCTCGGCATATTAAATAATACCTTACCACCAGACCTTGCAATACCTTGTTGTAACTCACCACCCCTTTTAAAATACCCTACCGTGGATCACCGTCCACTGTTTTCGTGCGCTATCAAAGCATATAGCATATGTATGTCTAACAACTACTGCTAGCACTGTTCTCACTGCTCCCGTGTCCTCCAAGTGACCTATGAACGGAAGAAGGTGATGCAGTGAGGACACAAATTAAGTGTGCAGGAATACCAAGGGGGGGGAGGGGGGGAGAAGCAAAAAGAGGGGTTGGGGGTTGTGACACAACCTTCTGAAGAGTGTTATTTGCAATCTTCATGGTACTAAAAAGTATACGTCGAAGGGGGGAAATAGTGTTGCTGGGAAAATTAAGAGGGGCAAGAAATGCAAGGGAGAACAGAAATCAGCTGAGACTTGGAAGCAGGAGCATGAGTCAAACGAGCAGAGGGGCATAGAGAAAGAGAGAGGAGCATTGAGGAACAGTGAAGGGAACTTCACAGGTGTGTGAATTGTGACAAGCTCACACTCGCAAGGAACATGGAAATAAGAATGTTACGAGCATAACGAGAGTAACCTGCAAAGAGGGGTTAACCTGACCTGGTGTGTGGATTATGAGTTGGGCTGCACAAGTGTGGTCAGAAAGGAAAAAGCATAAGGACCTAGTCGACATAGCATGGGATGGCAAGCATGGGTGGAGGGGTGCACAGAGGGAGATAATACTCACCCTGTTTGTTTCCATTTTATCTGGACTTCCTTCCATCCTTCATTGCTTCCCTCCTCCCAGCCTTCCCTACTACCCACAGTGAATCTTTCCCTCCTCTCCTATCCTCTAGTGTGTCAAATTGTATTTGTTCTGTAGGCTGTAGTGGGGCATACCCTAAAGGGTACAACACTTTAGGGTTAGGGTTAGCTATACAATCCTGTCTTGCCCATCATTCCAGTCATTCTTACGTTCCTACTTCTGACATGGTATTCAGAGCGGGTCCGTCCGTAGGACCGCTCCGTTAGGACCCACCGATAGTTTTTTGACCTGCCCGATCTGCCCGTACTGCCCTGCCCGAACTGCCCGTACTGCCCTGCCCTGCTTGCACTGCCCTGCACGGCCTGCCCAGCCCGTCGCGCTGCCCGCACAGCTGCCTAGCGCGCGACCCGCTCGCTGCCCTGCTAGCGGCCTGCTCGCGATGCCCTGCTAGCGCGCTGCCTTAGGCGTACGCGCGCCCTGCCCGCAAGCTGCCTGCGCTGCCCGCGCGCTGCTGCTGCTGCCCGCGCGCTGCGATTCCTGCCCGCGCGCTGCCTGCCTTGCCCGCGCGCTGCCTGCACCGCCGGCGCCCTGCTCGCGCACTGCCCGCACGCCGCTGGCGTCGCCTGCGCGCTGCCCCTAAGGCCCGCCCTGCCCGCGCTCTGCCTGCACAGCCCGCAAGCGGCCCTAAGCGCCCTGCCCGCGCTGCCCTGCCCGCGCTGCCCTGCGCCCTGCCCGCCCTGCCCGCGCTGCAGCCGCTGCTACGCTGCCGCTGCTGCCAGCGCCGCACTGCTCCGTCGTGCCCGAGCCGCGCCGCACAGCCCGAGCCGCGCTGCACCGCCCGAGCCGCGCCGCCTTGCCGAGCCGCGCCGCGCTGCCTAGTTGACTGGCAGATCGGGTTCTACTGCTGCACTGCTGCTTCTGCCACTTCTGCTGCTACTGCTGCTGCAGCTACTGCTGCTACTAGTGCTACTGCTGCTGCTACTGCTACTGCTGCTGCTACTACTGCTATTAACGATGGCTACACTCAATGTCCTTGCCTTTGACGCGGAGGGGCGCCCGATTAGGTTTGACTGCTGGCTCGAGGACCTCCAGCTGTACCTACAGAGCCAGGCTAGGGAGGACGTTTCACTGTTAGAACACGTGTCCGGTACCTGCCTAGCCCCTGAGGATACAACTGCGCGTGCTCTTCGTACTCAGTGGCTCACCCGTGATGCTGCCGCCCGCCTTTCTGTCCGCAATTTCGCAGACCGGGCACACTAAGTATCGTTGTTTCTGTCGTCTCGAGGATGCCTGGCGCACCGAGTACGGAGATGAGCTGGCTCTCTCCAACTGGTTAGCGTTGCTAGGGAAGGGGGTAGATGTGTTTGCTCTTGACTTTGCCAAGATCTATGTTGGAATCCATGCTATGTATGCTTGTGCTGCTAGTGTTGAGGGTGACTGTTACTCGTGTGTGCCGCACGCTGCTGGTGTAGAGGCTGCTGCTCTAGGTGCTTGTGAGTCTGCTGCCACTGGTATTGCTTCTGCTGAGGCTTTGCACACCTTCACACTTGACTCAGGCGCGTCTCGATATTTCTTTCGCGATTGCACCACAGTCACACCGCTCACAGCACCTGTCCCAGTCTCTCTGGCTGACCCCTCTGGGGGCCCAGTTGTTGCATGAGCCTCCAGTGTGCTCCCTTGTCCGGAATTCCCCTCCGGTTCTCTGTCCGGTCTCCACAACCCCTCGTTCTCTAAGAACTTGGTGAGTAACAGTGTCCTCCAGGACGAATTGGTCAGTACCTTTACTCCTGGAGGTGAGCGTGTGGCGATCTGTTTGGACTCACGCACTGGCGAGCACCTCGCCACGTTCACCCAGAGCCCAGGGTCTAGCCTATACACACTGACCACTGCGTCCGCACAGGTTGCTGCGTCAGGTCAGGTGGCAACGTCTGCACAGGTGGCCACGTCAGGTTAGTTAGCTGCATCTTACTCGTGCCGACTACTCTCCTCTGGCACCACCGTCTTGGTCACCCCTCCCTGCCACGCTTGCGTGGCATGCACTCTTGTCTCCTTGTCTTTGGCCTCCCCAGGTCCCTGCCCCCGCTCCCGCGCTTGCTTGCACCGCCGTGCATTCCCTGCGTCGAGGGTTGGCAGCGCGCCGCCCCTCACTCCTCGTTTCTGCCGACCACTGCTCATCTGCAGACTCTCCACATGGACGTGTGGGGCCCAGCCCGCGTCCGTGGACAGGACCAAGAGCGCTACTTTCTGCTGATTGTTGACGACTATACGCCATACACCACAATCTTCCCCTTGCGAAGCAAGGCGGAGGATGTCTGAGGATTTTTTATCGACTGGATCATCGATGTTCGTCGTCAGCTGAGCGCTCGGTTTGAGCAGGACCTCCAGGTCTTGCGGCTGCACTCTGACAGAGGCGGTGGGTTTTTCTTTGTCATCCTTCGGGACTTTTGTCATGCGGAGGGTATCCGCCAGACGTTCACGCTTCCGGCCTCTCCACAGCAGAATGGGATTGCTGAGCACCGCATTGGCCTAGTCATGGACGTTTGTCGCACCTCCATGATCCATGCGGCTGCTCCCCATTTTCTGTGGCCGTTTGCGCTCCATTACGCTGCGCATCAGCTCAGCCTCTGGCCCCGTGTCTCTGAGCCAGAGACCTCGCCTACACTGCGTTGGACAGAGGAGGTTGGCGATGCGTCAGCGTTTTAGGGTCTGGGGCGCGCTCTCCCTTGTTCGCGATACCACCGCGAGCAAACTCTCCCCTCGCAATCTCCGCTGTGTCTTCCTTGGCTTCCCCACCGACGCCCCACACTGGCAGTTTTACCAACCTGCCTCGCGTCGGGTCCTGTCTTCACAGGACGTCACGTTTGACGAGTCGGTCTGCTTCTACCGTCTCCGCCGCACACGTCTTCCCCGCTCTCCCCGCCGCCCCTCTTCCTAGTCCCAGGTCCTCCTCCGGTAGACCCCCTCCCCCTGCAGGGTCCTGCTCCCTCAGGTGTGTCTCGGGTCGACCCACCCCCCTTGGTTGAGCCTTTGGAGGTCTCCTCTGACTCCTCCGGCCCAGCTGAGGGGGGTGACCCCGCGGCTGACGACACGGCGGTCACTCGCCGCTCCCCGCGCTTGGAGACCCCTCCTGGTTTTCCGCCTCGGCCGTCTTCGCTGCCTCCGCAGCTTGTCGCTGTGGGCTCTGGTGGTTCTGGGGGTGTTGAGTCTGGGGGTGCCCGTTCTGGGGGTGTTGAGTCTGGGGGTGCTGGTTCTGGAGGTGCTGTAGCTTCTAGAGGTGCTGGAGGTGCTGGAGCTGCTGGTGCTGGAGGTGCTGCTGGTGCTAAAGGTGCTGGAGCTGCTGGTACTAGAGCTACTCGTGCTGGAGGTGCTGGAGCTGCAGGTGCAGGAGGTGCTGGAGCGGCTGGAGGTACTGGAGGTGCTGGAGGTGCTGGTGCAGGACGTGTTGGAGGTAATGGAGGTACTAGAGCTGCTGGTGCTGGAGGTGCTGGT